TGTAAGTAGCAAAAAAAAATTGTACAACACTCGATAAAGTACAGTGTCACATGAGGGTTGAGTGTATTATATGAAAATGTCATACTTATGTAAAAGAATACATGAATATAGAAAAGGCGCGGACAAAAATGGAAACGTTAATATGCGAATATGAGCAAATTAATGAGCGTACAAAAAATTTACATGTACTAATGCTGTGATTGTCTGAACGATAAAATAACACGTTTGTATGAGTGATTCAAATTATCGTGAAAGTAGTAATAAATTGTTTGTAGGTATAACAGCGAAATAAATCGTCAAAATGGCTAGAGTAGAATATGACAGAAATTGGTCTGTGATGCTGACAAAATAGTGAAATATGCGAAATATATGTTCTGTTGAGCCGCAGCAGAATAAATCGCATTGACTAGTGATGAGTGAATTCGAACTTAAATGCGTAGGATGATAATAGGAAAGTCGTGAAATGATATCTGCATCGACGGGTGATATTCGTTGCTATACTGCAATTGATAATAATCATAAAATTTGAAGTCAGTGGACGTTGTCGTCTGCGTTATGACAGATGCATCGAGTTATCGTTGAATATGTATTAGTAGAATGACCAGAGGAACAGAATAGTGACTGAGTAGACCAGGTACATAGAGTCGTATTCCTTTTTGGTCATGAAGCCTAGAGTGGTTTGTGTGGCTTGAGGGAGATGCGCTCGATCTCGTTTGTTACAAAACCGTGCCAAGGCATGACAAAAATACCAATACATATGGTTAGCGATTGCGACGTATGAGACTGACTTGGATGTAACGAACAAGAGTGTATCTTTGAGAGACTAGCTCTAAACTCTATGTTCTGATATACCGAGCGATGGGTATAGAATAGTAGTTGCAGTACTCGAATAGCGTTTTTGAGTGATAAGTGATGCAGCATGTAATTATGCACGTGGAAGAATAGATAAAATGAACGTAATGGTTACTAGTCAGCTAGTTAGATGCATCCACAGACATAATAGGAGGCGATTTCGAAATGAAAAATGTATGTTGTGATAACATAAATTGCGGACCTCGACTAAGTGAATAAATGTAATATTAGATCAAAATGACATGAAAAATTGGAACGAACTCACTTAAAGCAGGAAAATTTCACGTTTTTGAATAGAAATATTCCAATGAGTTCTGAATGTCATTACATGGAGTGGAATTTTCATAAAATAATAATTTGTTCGGTGAGTAATATGATTGCGAAAATGTCATGATTTAATGACAGCACGAACAAGATTAATAATTCCACATTCGGTCATGATATCGATAATAATGTAATAATAAGCATATAATGATAATTTGAATCGTAATGGAACAAACCGACGAATGGATCAATGAGAATGGTCGACATGAGAACAAAGTATCGATAAGATAATACGACTTGAGCATGTCCATGTCATGTTGCACAGGCTGTGCTGATTGCGTCGGATTGGAGATTGCGCTGGCTTCGCTGAATATGTTCGTCGAACGTATAGAGTGTAGAAGTGCCTTCATCGACGTAGCGGGCTGCGTTGCGTTCGTCGTCGGCGGGCTCATCACTTAAGTGGCCCGTTGATCTGACTCCATTTTAGAGCGTATGAATGATTGTATTCGCTGACTCTCGTATATCATAGTCGACTTAATTCTCGTTAGTCCATAACGGAATTAAATAAGTCAATTAACGAGAATGGCCATTGAATACATATATTTTGTATGTAAAGTGAATGCGATAGAATAAAGCGAAATGACGCACGGGGAAGATGGCTGGGAAGCCAACTCCATTTTAATTAAGTGTTACTCAGTATTTATAGGCAGACAAAATAAACTACAGACATGTGATGAATCATGGGACATGAAGTGTACACACATATACGCTCATGTGAAAACAGTCAAGATTGATAAGCGAATAATTGACAAGGTCAATATATGGCTCAAGTAAAATGAATAAAATAGGATGTCTGGAAGTTAGAATCAAGGTATATGGGCTTGCCATAATAACTGACACTACAGGTTACGTGGAAGTCACACCATAGTCCATACTGACGCAACCTGTCGTGACAGTCAGCAAAAAGACGTTTAGCGCTTATGAAGTATACACTCGAGCTGAGAATAGAATCATATATCCGATATGAAAAGGAAGAAGTCACACACCTGCATGGTCGAGTCATGCCACACGGACCAATTGTTCCCATGTCCACCGTTTTCGACCTTCTCTAAGTGTTAAGCGTTGGATGCAGATTGTCTCAGTCACCACCGCAGATCCTTATGGAAATCAGTCATCTATATTTATTATTTAGCAACAGAACCGTGGTCTTATTCCTAGGATGAAAGGCTGAACAAATCGTCAAACACAATTTTCTGTTAGTTCTAAGGTTGAGGGATCGGCTTTCCGATATTTATTGAAATTTAGGCAGTCGGCTCTGTGAGACTTTTGATGCTCACGGTAAGTGACTAGGTCACTCAGGGATTTTACACTTGTAAGTGATGCATTGTACGCTATCCTTCATATGATCTACAATACGTGGTAAATGAGGTGGTAAGGAGGTGTTTGCGATATTAGAGAGCCTATATGCATACTATTTTTAAACTGCTTCACACATACTGTTGTCTCTTACCTAAACTATTGAATGCCGTATGAATTGCGCTGGTTGCCCATCACCTGTCTCACCTTGGGATAATCTTTGGCTTCTCTGACTGCCTATTATGGATTGGTGTCTCATTATTTTATATATTACGATTAAAAATATCGTAAAAGTGTAGAAGTCCTATGTTTGAAATAAAGGTTTGACGGTTACCGAGCTAGTGTCTGTAGTCGCTTGTCAGTGGTCAAATAAATGAAAAATTTCCTGTTTTCTGACTATGACATTCACGACATGAAGTCGGGGGCAGTCATAATGAAAAACTGAAATCAGAAGTTTACCCACGATAGGAACAAATAGTTCCCAACTTCTGCCAGAAGCGTTAGAAATTTTGTAGTTGAACTTGAAGATGCCACAAGTTATCGGAGTTTGACAGTGCCTTAAACAATGACACCTTTTAGAATCGAAATATGCCAACTCAGTCAAATCAGAAGACGGAAGCGAAGAGGTTCGAAGATGCATTTGATAGGCTATCGGTATATCTAAGCTGGCTAGGGGTTGTGAAGCACGGTGTACCCACTCGCGATCTGGTGCGGATGAATGACCGAGCATCTCCAACTAAGTGAGTATAATAAAATCAGTGGGGTGAGCACCAAATGTCAAAGACTTACATAGCCATTTGTTTCGGGGATTTATTTGCCGCTACAAACTAACCAACGCGTAATTGCCCAGAAATTCAGCTATCCCATATTTCAGAGATAACCGCGAGTGCAAGTTATCAGATAACGTCATGAAGCGATTAGCAGTTAGAATGTTTACTTTATTTTCATTGTAGGATTATTTATGTACTTCATTAGGGATTTAACGATGTCTCATATTAGTAGATTGGGTTCTCTTTTGTCACAAGTCAAAACGCTATTCGTGTTGCCTTCAAAATATGGAAAACTTCGAACTCATATTACAAAGCCACATTGCAAAGATGTTAGCAAGATAATATAAATCATAAAGATTTCTACCCTTCTTAGTGAAGACTGATCGCTTTTCTAACCATAAGTCAAGCGCAAGGTTGGAAAGTTCGCGAAACAGCGGGTCATTACCTCTCCTTCGATTAAATGTTCTTCACTTGACTTGTCTTGCCCTCTTACAGCAAAATGCTGTCTCACAAAGTGTCTACAAAATGTATTCGAGAATTCTGCCAGGTTACCGGTAGGTCATTGTAACAGTGCTTGATGTTTTTCAGGGTCTGACGAAGAAACTGCTCGTTCATTCTTGTCAGCTTGTAATAATAATTTGGAATTGGCTGTTAGTCTTTACATGGATGATCCAAGTAGGGTTCCTTCTCAGAGTTCAACGGAGGAATACCGGACTCCTATTCCTCAAAGAAACGAACAGCTACTCCCCGTTGTTGTACCACTTCGTAAGTTGATCAACTTATTTGTAAATATTTATTCGATTGTAACTTAATTCAAATGGCAGGATGTTTAACCTCCTGTGGTGTTGTACAAGTGTTAGGGCGTGAGCATTTTGCTGGAAAAATAACCTTGCTTTGTGTTTGTGGCTTGATTTGTAAATATCTCAAGATCTGACAGCTGTGGTAATATGGTGAATTCTTAAGTACATTTTAGTCTCAGTAGACATGAATCATATCTCGGTTTTGACGTTCGTATTGCACCGTCAGTCTTTTTTCTTTGAACCATTTGAACACTGCTTTCCAACATGTAACACGGAGAAAAGCGTGTTTACGTGTTTGTCCAGCATCTCATCCAAAACTTTCATAACTATTTTCAGTTTTTGCCATTGTCTGTGTTTGCTTAACGTTGATTCGCTTAGGAATGTTGGTGCCCTCTGTAAGAGTTAATGGCACACTCCAAATCCTGTCCTAAATCTATCACTTATTAGCTAAAATGATATGAGTATTGCCTTTTTTCACATATATGATCCTTTCGTTTGAGTATCGTTTACATATTTAAGGTTACTGCTTTCGAACTGAAAATTTTCACTGAATTTACTTGACTTGTTATTTAATATTATTTTCAACAACAATTTAGATCTTCAGTTCAATGAATAGCTAATGCTAAAGTTATCAATGTTTATTTTTTAAACCAACGGTAGTCCGTCTGTTGTAATGTAAACTTTCCAAATTTACTCTGGTAATCACATAATGTTTAGGCAAACGGATAACGAATTAAAAGCATTGACGCTGACAGGACCTCTACCAAGCAATATGGATCTCCCTACAAGGCTTGGTGGAGCAATTTGTCATTTCATAAACGGATGTCATATTTTTATCTGATTGTCCTATCTTTTTCAATGAAGACCATCGTGACACTGGGACAGGCTGCACAATGACAATGACTCCTAGATGGAAACTGGTGTGTGAATAGTCAATGTCCTGAATTCAGACATCCGCGATCGTGTTTAAATACCAGGACGTAGAGAGTATCTAATTTATTTCACTAGCAGCCCTCAAAATTTTAATTCTCTTGGTTATGATGTCTTTTTACTTTACTGCTTTTATTCATTATACTCCTCCTTATAGTCTTCTTTCTATGATCAATAGACCATGTTAACGAAGCAGTTAGCAATCCATATACTTTTGACTTTCATGAGAGATGTACTCAAACTTACGGTTTAGGATAACTAACTACTTAGTAAGTAGAAAACAAGTCATATTTTGCATTTCCTTCTGAAAAAATAATACATCTGCTCATGCCACAGTAATGCTATCCTTTTCGACGATTCATAACAAATGGCTAAGTAAGGTATATGAATATTTGAGTTGCATAAAAAAGTCGTAAATTGCATTCAAATTAATATGTTCAAATTATTGTGGCCTGTTGCGTTTTCTGTATATGTATGTATCAAATGCTCTTGCAAAATTGAGTTTGTATTTGTATTCAATAAAAGTCTCTTGATTCATGTGCTGGAACTTTGGGGGTCCACTTAGGACTGAAAATAATATTCTGTCCCGACCGTTGCTGCTACCTTGACGTGGTGGTCAAACATGTATATCATGGCGAACCAGTCGAGTTATACTGACTTGAATATTCGTTCCTCAAGGTCCTACCATGTCAGACAGGTTGGTTGGAGAGAAGTAAGACCAAAAGCAGCAAACCCAAGGTCCGAGGGCGAAGTCGTACTGCTGACTGTACAGAGGTGTGACAACAGTAAGGTGTTCCCTTCAAACAACCAGCATAACAGCGATGCTGCCTTCCCACAAGGAGGGGTTAGAAAAGGTCGACCATAGAAATGCACACCTCGCCTTATCCCACGGATATCCGTTTCATGCGGTAAGGTCTCAACAAGTACGAAGCTAACACGAAAATTACTCACAGAAAGGTCGTATGTTATCGACCTCAAGCAGTTGTCCCTTGGGCACTGCGGTCACGCTCTCAGGTCACTAAGATCACCTCTAACCCAATTCCCTTTTCAGGTACGTCCAGAATTCACTTGACGTCACCTCACCAAAACGGGGAGCCGATCAGATGGCTAGTTCTCGTGGACTGGCAGGTGTAGGCATAGCACTAAGTACGAGGGCAGAACAGGCACTATTAGAGTGGATCCCTGTTAACAGTCGCCTACGTGCTGTCCGGCAACACGGTTCCGTAAGAACTCGGAAGGATGGAGACGCACGTTGTTGCTTTTCGTAATTTCTGCTTACGCTCCCTCTGACTGCAGCCTGGATAAAGTGAATGGTGAATTTTACAAAAAGCTTTCTGACCTTCAAAAAGCTAAACGCTCAGGTATACTACTCATGGCAGGTGAATTTAATGCACAGGTAGGTAGCTTAAATCAAACAGAAAGACATCAAAGTGGGTATTTTAGTATTCCGGCTCAGCGAACAGATAATGGTGACTGTCTGCCGCAACTGTGCTCAGACAAGTACGGAGCTAACACAAAAATTACCTATAAAAAGGTAGTGTGTGACCGACCTCAAGCAGTTGTCCCTTGGGCACTGCGGTCACGCTCTCAGGTCACTAAGACCACCTTTAATCCAATTTCCTTTTCAGGTACCTCCAGAAGAACCCTTCCACGGTGTGGGCAACCGGGAAGTGATAACCACCCTCATACCTCTAACAGCACTCAAGACTACCTGACTGACTATTTTTAGCAAACACTAATTTTAAGCATAAGGAGAGAAATCGTCTAACATGGCGACGCCCTGTATCAAACTAACGATGGACTCAGATTATATTGTCATCAGTCATCGTTGGAGGGCTCTATAGAAGACTACCACTCGTTCTGGAATACATGTTTAGACTCTGGTCATGCTTTAATACGAGGATGCATTTGCTTGCATCTCACTGGACACAGAAAAACCACGTTAAGAAGACCCATTAGAGTTGAACTCAGTGACAAAAAAGCCAAAAGTAGATTCTAGGAACGACTCATAAAAAAAGAGGAAATAAAAACTCAAGTGTAAGTGAAACTATCTCGGAAGGAGGTTGCACTTTTATCTGCTCCCAGTCCAGACGTTTAGAACGATAGGCTAAACACTTTAAGCAGCAGTTCAGCTGGCATTCATCTACTCTACAACTACCCACCATTCTCAAACAGCCTGAATGAAACATTCAAGTATTTCCAACGACTCTAATTGAAGTTAAGAAAGCTATAGCTAATCTTAAAATAGGAAGAGCAGCTGGTTCAGATAGATTGGCTGCGGAAATCTTTATGGATGGTGGTCCAGTTTTAGCGATTAGGTTGACTAATACTTTAGCTAAAGTCGGGAAACTAGATGTAATCCCATCTGACTGGTCGCAATCACTGGTTGTCCCAACATATAAGAAAAGATCAAAATCATCCTGTGATAACCATAGAGGGATTAGTCTAACTAATGTAGCATCTAAAACACTAGCCTCAATAATTATTGGATGCCTAACAAAGACTCATGAGTTGCAAACATGAGAAAATCAGGCTTGCTTCAGACCTGATCATGGCTACATCGACCACATATTTACCATTCGTCAGATCTTAGAACACAGGGATGCTTGTCGGCGTCCGACGGTGATATTTTTTCTTGACTTAAAAGCAGCATTAGACCGAGAGGTTCTGTGGCAGTGTCTGTCATTGAAATGTGTACCTCAGAAGTACATAAACATTGTGAAGGCTCTTTACTCGATCACTACCAGTCGAGTCAGAGCTTATGGCGAACTGTCATCTGATTTTGCAGCCTCAAGTGATGTCTGACAAGGCTGTTCACTATCTTCATTTTTGTTCAATTTCATTATAAACCTACTACTGAAAATAACGTTCTCGTCGACTGGATTTTCGGGAATCGATCTATCAGGAGGTCCTTTTATCGACTTAGAATACTTAGCTGACATAGTCCTGTTTGGTGAAGACGCTGATAATATTCAAAGTCCTCTGGTAGCACTGAGCAACAGTTCCAGAATGTTTGGGATGCGCTCCTCCTCTTCTAAATGCAAGTTGTTGCTTCAGAACAAGCCTGCATCAACACCTGAACTAAGAATAGGGAGTGAAGTAGTCAAACGCGTTGACAACACTTATCTTGGAAGTCTGATCAGCCCTAACGGTTTGGTGTCTGACGAGATTTCTGCATGGATTCAGAAAGCTCGTTTGGCTTTTGCCAACTTACGTCACCTATGGCGAAGACGAGATATTCGTCTACCAATTAAGGGACGAGTATACTGTACAGCAATTCGTTCTGTTATACTTTACAGCAGCGAAACGTGGCCATTAGGAGTAGAAGATGCTCTTAAGTTACTAGTATTTGACCACAGATGCCTTAGAAATATTGCTCGCATCTGCTGGGATCACCGGGTAAGTAATAATGAGGTTAGACGTAGGGTATTAGGGAATGATGGTAAATCAGTTGATGAGGTTGTGAATCTTCATCGGCTGAGGCGGTTACGTATGCCTGAACACCGATTACCACGACGCGCAATGCTAGCCGGTGTTGAGGATGGTTGGAAGAAAGTTAGGGGTGGCCAAACCGAAACGTGGCATCCTTATATCCAATCATTCTTTTATATATTACCACTATTGAATTAACTACTTCTATGAATTCGGTGTTCATCTTGCTGTGCTAATGCAGTATGTTAACTTGGACCGATGTATGTATGTGTCTGGTCCTACGTTGTAGCTGACTGACTCACTGAATGATAATATTCTGTGGACTTTACTGTAGTTATACTTATTTATTCTAGAGTAGACACATATCAAGTCTAAGAAATAGTTTTCAATTGATATCGTTCAAATTTTATGTTCAGTTTTTTGCTTTGTGAGGCTTTAGCTGTCATAAAGCTTGTATCTTTATTTGAATTTCTAGTTCCTGATCACCTGCAAAACTCACCTCTCATGCAAACACGTCGACGCGCGTTCGTTGCTGAAGATTCGGACGATAACTCAGATGACGATACAATAACCAGTGGTGCAAGGTGCCAGCCGTTTGAAAAGTCACAGTTAGCTTCGAAATCAGTATGTTCATGTTAATTATACAATCTTTGGTTAGGCATTGTTTTGACTAACATCCGATGGTATTTAGTTGTATAGATCATGTTTTCGTGCATGTAAATGCTTTACGTATCTGAATGACCTAGTTATTCAATCATATTGATCGCTTTATTTTTTATAAGCTAAGATTTGTTTGCACTTAACAAGCATGGGGTACCACTCTGGGGCTAGTTTTGCATAAACCTAGTTTTAAAGTAGGATATGTGGTAGTTGTTTTGGGCGATCAGTCCACCTATCAAAAAAGTTACATCAGCCATAGTTCGTTGCTCTATAACACTAATCAAGTTATTTCACGGACTGATAGGATGATTAAACGGTCAACATATCCTTTATTTTGTTCTTGTGTTGAAGAAAGATGTTAACAATGGACGTCTTAGGGTTACATTTATTTTCTAAATGTTGTTTGCGCACAATAAGTCCATCATAAACAATGTCAAACTCGATAAAAATTTGCATTGGGCAAATATAATCCGTTCTCTCTGATCCAATCAATTGTATTGCGGTTGTAGGTTCACATTAGATTGATACTCGACAGATTTTTCGATTTATGACCTAAATACAGGAACTCTTGATCAACGGAGTCAAATAAAACCCTTAAGTCGAAAAATAGGGCTATAGTCTTTCATTGGTATGTGTTTCAGAACCCCGTGCAATGTAAAGATTGTACGTATATATATATATATATATATATATAGTGCCTGGGTCTGAAACTAGGCTGGTTATTTCTGGTTTGTCGTCCTCATGATTCAGGTAGGCGCGTGATAATAATCTTGTTCGGAATCCATCTATATAATTTCACTAGCACCAATTAATTTAGCCGTGGTTTCATTTATGCACTATCCCTTAATAGCATTTTCAATTAAGTTGCTAGTAGACATTACTGTTTGCTCTGAAATATGATTACTGACCATACAAGTTCGTCTCAAGATGAACATCTTGATTGTTGATTAAGTGCTTAACTGACTGTCTCTTAAATATATACTTGATATTTTATTCGAGCTGGTCTCTAAGAGTTCTTACTGAGGTTCACCAACATTGTTTTATGATTCTTATTAATGATCACTACTATATCTTTCAAGTCAAAACTAATTGTTCGCCTGACACTTTTCAAATAAAATCCATAATCAGCCACGTGTAACGCTCACTCTAGAAGAATTTCATTTAAATGATAGGAGAATCTCTTTAATTTTCATCCTATAATTTAAATTCCTGCTGTATTAGAAAATATCCACAAAGTTTTATGCGTCACTTGTAATATTTGCCTTCACTTTGTTTATTGTCTGAACGAATTAGAACTTAGTGAAGTTATTGTCTTTATCACTGAAGCTACAGGTAAATTTATTGCAAACCCTGTAGACTGAGCCACAGAATTAGTTGCATAAATAATATTCTTTTTTTAAACAATTTTCATCATATCTGTTTGTTTTAAGGATCATTCAATTAAACAACGGTGTTCAAACGATAATGGATCTGATTCGACTTTACTAAATACTGATGGCACTAGCTCTGGTTCTTCTTCACTTTCTTCGGGGCATATTAATGGAGTTAAAGATGGTGTTAAAAGAAAAAGAAAGCATTTGCAACAACTTTACCAACCTCCAGTCGAGATATTGTTCGATGGGACAGTACAAGCTGTAAGTGTAAGAGTAATTGTTTTTAATTGAGATCATGAATTGATCGACGTTAGACCACCATTGGAAACCTGGAAGCACTGGACGACCCCTTTGTCCTAATATGGGATTGTCTATTGAAGAATGGTGTGCTTGAGAAGTTTATTAGCATCCTAAAAGCCCTATATACAAACACCTCAGGCAGAGTGAAGGGATACAACCACCTTTCTCCATTGTTCCATTCGAGCAGTGGGGTTAGGCAGGGTTGCCCAATCTCACCATTCTTCTTCAACTTTGCCAACGACGACATTCTGGAAACAGCTCTGATGGATGTAAGTAATGGCGATGTGGATCTGTTGCCTGGAGAAAGACTTCTCGATTTTGAGTATGCGGATGATATTGTCTTACTGTGCGATAATGCCCAAGGCATGCAATCCGCACTTAACCAGTTGGCAATCAGTGTCCGTAGGTATGGTATGTGCTTTGCACCTTCGAAGTGCAAAGTACTTCTACAAGACTGTCAGGATTTCAATCCTGTACTCACTCTGGATGGTGAGCAGATAGAAGTAGTCGAGAAGTTCGTGTATCTAGGTAGCTGCATAAGTCAGTCAGTCAGTCAGTAACAACGTAGAACTTCGTACGTACGTACATCAGTTCGAGTTGCCACACCACATTAGCACAGAGATGCAGTGGTCGATTCAAATCCCGTAGTGGTAGAGGTAGCAAGAGTATAAGCAGTAATCGGGAAGATTAGGGTTTGGAGATGTTATTTAAAGAGTATAATCCAGTGAAAGAAATTTGGAAAGAGGGAAAAAGGGACATGAAGAATTCAGAAGATTAGAGTTTGGGAGAACACAGAGAGTGGATGCACCTGCGCCATTGCGAACGATTTTGAGCCATGTCATTCAGGGTCTCTAACCATCGGTTGCTGTCATCTCGCGGTCCCCAACCAGGTAGTCTACACCTACCAACATGACTCAGTTCACTTGTCAGTGACTTCATGGACTTGTGCCATGTTTTGGTTTGGCCGCCACTAGCTTTCTTCCAACCTACTCCTATACCACTGAACATAGCACGTCGAGGCAGTCGGTCGTTGGCCATACGTAACACGTGTCCCAGCCATCTCAACTGATGAAGTTTCACTACGTCATCAATTGATTTGCCATCTTTACCTAGTACCCGTTTCCTAACAACTGTGTTACTTACTCGATGGTCCCATGATATACGAGCAATGTTTCGAAGACACCTATGATCGAATACTAGTTGCATAAGTGCTGGTGGGGGTGTGAGTGATGAGATCAATGCACGTATAGTGAAAGCTAGAGCGGCTTATGTCAATCTGGGCGCCTTCGTGATGTTAGTCTGGCTGTAAAAGGTCGGATCTACAACGCGTCGGTGATAGCAGGTTTGCTCTATGCTTGTGAAACCTGGCCTCTCCGAGTTGAGGATGTTAGACGACTCTCTGTGTTCGATCGTCGCTGTCTCCGAAGGATTGCTGACATCCAGTGGCGACACCATGTTAGTAATGCAGAAGTTCGGCATCGTGTGTTCGGGCACAGAGATGATAATTCAATTGGTGTCACCATCTTGAAACACCGACTTCGGTGGCTTGGACATGTTCTCCGAATGTCGTCCCAGAGAATTCCACGTCGTGCATTGTTTGACGACTCTGGGACTGGTTGGAAGAAGCGGAGAGGTGGTCAGTACATGACATGGTGTCGTGGTATGAAAGAAAGCTGCAAAGGGCTGGCTCGTGTTGGTCCTTCACGACTCCCTGGCTGGGGTCCGAGAGACGGTGCTACACAGTGGCTAGAGACGTTATCAGGTATGGCTCAGAATAGAAACCAGTGGCGATCCTGCTGTAATCTTCTTTTACTTTCTTCATAAAAAGTGGTTGTTTCTTCCTTAACTGGAAGATTTCTTCCGGTTGCACCTTTCCGTTTCTCTCATGATTACTATTACTATTATTATTATCACACTACCTTACACCAATCTGTTCGTTATTGTTCTCTTTTTCTTTCACGCTCCTTACCTTTTTTTCCTTGTCTTTAAATTCTCATTGTTTTGTGTGGCGCATATATATATTTGGTGCCCTCTTGTACCAATATTTATGTGTTCAAATGAATAAATAAATATGGGACTCCTCAGCAGTGCGCATCCATGATCCCCCACTCGGGACTCGAACTCAAGACCTTCGGTCTCGCGCGCGAACACTTAACCTCTAGACTACTGAGCTGGCATCCAACGGTGTTAATGTCTAACTCCAGCAAATCCACGAAATTGATAACCAAAGCACATTACTTTCTTGTATTAGCATGTCACAATACTTGATTGCAAGCTAACCATCTATCAAACTAATTCTACTGAATAATTTGGAGTTCATAAATCAATATTGTTTGTCTGATACAGTCACTAAAATTTCGTTTAAATAGATTTTAGGAGGAAAAAATTATTAGCCAACTAAGGAATATATTTTAGGGAATTAAAACTACCATGAAAAGCTACTTAATTAAGATTGAATGTTTATGAGTTACTTACCAAATAATATGTGAGTAGTGATAAAAATAAAAGTCAAAAAATGACCATTAAGACTTCTTTCTTTTTTGTCTTATCAAAAACTCAAGTACTTAGAATACTGATTGGTGACGAAATTTCAATTGTGCTGTGTTTTGCTTCATAAATAGTTATCAAACCATCAAAAATAAGTTGAAATAGGGGTCAGTTTAGCCAAATGTCTAATTATAGTCTATGTAGAAATTAAAGAATAGGCGTTATCAGCTAATGTAACCTATTTACCAAATACATGTTTATATACTTGACTTTGAGCTATACTGTCTGTAAAGTGGCTAGTAATACTACTTGACTTTCCAAACCGAAATAGGTGAAACATGCTTCAAACTTGAGAACAGTGGACCTGTGTATTTCAACCATCAAGTCACCGCTTTACTTATTTGTGTATGATATATAACCTTATGTCTTCCATCCTATCAAACTCACTTTTTTTCCATTTTAAAACAGGCTGAACTTGCTGCACAAGAAAAACACCAATGGTTACTTGTCAGTATACACGATGAAGGATGCTTTGAGTGTCATCTGCTAAATCGTGATGTTTGGAAGGATCCGAAAATCTACCAACTTATTAAACGCCATTGTACTTTTGTACAAGTAAGTATAAAATATATTCCCATATAATATAAGTTGTAGAATACTGTTTGTAGAAATGTATGCCATTCATTTTCTTTCTGTACACAAATGTAACAACTATCTGTTTTAACCCAACTGCTAGGTAACCACTTGCCTTCATGTATTCTTTTGATCAGGTAGTTTACTACAGAAGGAAAGAAAGCAGAGGTGATTCGTATATACTTAGTACGAGCTTGTTATTTTGTTTATTTAATACAAAAATTGTGGTACGATTAAGCAACAATAATACTGTGCCCCACACAAAACAAGGAGATATTTTAAAGAAGTAAGATAGGAAAAGAATGCCTAATCAAAATAGGTGGATAAATAAATGATTAAGAATAGTGTAGGATATAACATTAGAAAATACAATCAGGAAATATTCCTCTCACTTAAGAAAGCTCATCTCATTTTAATGAAGGATCTAAAAACTTTCATCAGGATCTCCATTGGCTCCTATTTTGAGTTATGTCTGGTAACGTACCAGGACAATGAGTTGCACCATCTCCAGGACCCCAACAGGAAGGTTCTTGATGGGTCGACAGAAACCAGTTCTATATGATTTCTTTTCATACCACAGAGTCATATCCTAAGCTGACTAACACCCCGCCTTTTCGACCCAGCCCCGGTTTCTGCAGACGATACGCGATTTGGAAGTCTCTGTGGTGACATTTCTAAAACATAACCAAACCACCAAAGCCGACGTCTCAAGATGGTGACACTAATTGCATTGTCATCACGGCACCCAAATGCGCATTTTTGGACTTCAAAATTACTAACACGATATTGATACTGGATCCAAACTATCCTTTGGAGACAGTAATAATCAAACACAGAGTCCTCGGTAAGACTATAATTTATGGACGACCTTTGAGCGACGTTAAAGTGGCTTCGAGAATGTTCACCTACTTGCTAGAGTTAAATGAGAGTTATAAACCTGTGTGAAGAGTAATGATTTTGAATCACAGTTGATGGTTAGGGTCAGGAATCAAATTTACAGTTTTCATCACGAACTGACATCAGTTATAATGCCAAAACTTTATTTATCCAAATAGTTGAATGAATTTCGCGTTAAAATCCAAGATCTGTTAACCTAAACCTGATTGGTTCGTCCATAAATTATAGTCTCATCGAGTGCTCATTTACCTTTAGGTTGGAGCGGCAAGGTTTCACAAGCATAGAATGGAACTGCTGTCACTAATGTTATAAACCCTACCTTCTACAGACAGACTAATATCGAAATGGCGCTAAAATGGATTAATCTAAGCCACTGTGACTGTTATTATATGCAAACTGATCTTATGTAACACATCACTACCAGCACTCATATAACTACCAAGGTACACGAACTTTTTGACTACTAACACACCACACACCAAAGTGAATGCAGGCAAACGCTCCTTCCAGGCTTGCAATCTAACCTACTACACCAACACAGTGCATCCTTAAAGAAAAAAAATGGAACGAGACGTTTAATACTAGATGTGACTACAATCAAAATATTTTGTACGCTAACTACAAATCGATACTATAAACATGTTTTCCTATTAATAGTCTACTTGTTCAACGTTTCCTCCCTATTGATACCAATATTTCTGCATAAATCGAATATATTTTCAGTTGTTGAATGTTCTATTTGACAGACACTATCAAAAGTAGAACGATTAGTTCATGAAACAAATCCTCAAATATGGATAATCGTATATATACATATTTATCTTCCAGAGTAGCCTAGCGAAGAAAAAGTAATTAGTTGGATCCTGTCTTATGTAACATGTAGTGAGTTCATTCTCAAATTCATACTTTATCATTTCGAAAATCCAATTAAAGATTTTTAGATGTTTACACTTAAACCTATTTTACGTTGTTTTTAGAGACTTTAACCATCCACTGTGTAAAACCACATTTATTTGTAAAGCTTTAATAATGAACTCACTGAAAAGAATTCATTCACTAAATTACTTGTTCTTTGACTTGATATGTATATTGACATTAGTTATTGAAACATTGTGTAACGGTGTTTCCGATTCTATACGCAATAACTAGTAAATCAATATTTAACTGTTACTTAAGGATAGCAAATTTAATAGGAAGAGTGTTTAAGTCTTTTATTTTGTCGTAACCTGAAAAGGCACTGGATGACCGTTTCTTCCCAGTAAGGGACTTCTTGGTAGTGCGTATCCACGACTCCGCACACGGGAATCGAACCCAGAACCCTAGCTTTTGCACGCGAACACTTAAAATCTAGACCACTGAGTTGGCATCCAACGGTGTTAATGTCTAACTTTAATTAATCCACGATATTGCGCAACCATCGGATATGGTTGAACTCCAGGTTTTCAGTGGTTGTCCAACACTGATCATTTCATGATTTCTGCGGGACTTAAAGAACTCCACAACCATATACTTACGAAAAGGTTATTGCGGACCATATCATTATCACCTTGAATAATAATAGTAAACTTACTGGTGTCACTCATATTAGATTAATATTTTGATTTGAAGATATCTTTTGAATTCTGTTATGTTAAAATTTATTGCATCGATGTGTTTCAGTTTACAAGGCCTTTCTTGTGTGCAATTTACCCTTGTTCATATTTATGAATACACGGATGGGAAAGGTTGATATATTTGTTAGTAACGTTTTCCTCTAAGTATATATTTACTCACCTCATTTCGACCTGTATAACATCTATAAGGATTAATGTTACTATGTAGCTGCTCAAAGTAAGTGGTATTTCGTCAGTTCCTCCATAACTCACTTATTAAGTACATGTTTATGTATTCCACTTTCGATCATACAGTCTTTCTAGAAGTTAGTTAGTGTAGTTTGAACTTGCAACTTACTGATTAAAAGCTGTTTAATTCCTTTCAACACCAAAATGTCACTCCATACAATATCGCCTTCAGTATTATATCAAATTCTATCTTAAACTAATGCAAACTTTCTTTTACTATGCTGTTAGTAGGTTTAAAAGTGAAGCTAATCAATTGAAGTTTATGATTTATAGGTGTGACTTGATTATCAAGATCATTATCGTTATAATTTTATTTCTGCTTATTCAGATACCTGTGGATAGTTCTGAAGGTTTACGCTTCCGTAGTAGTTATTCTTATGTTCAATCAGCTTCCCATATAGCTATTTTGGATCCGTTTACTGGAGAGCAGAAAATGATGTGGACGCATTTAAATGATCCTAAGATTGTATATGATGTCTGTAAGTGCTTTATTATTTTTATACGTAATTCATTATCTAACAGTTGATGTACTTTACAGTCAGGCTCAACTACTAATTTACACTATGATTAATATAACTAAATATAGAGAAAATACGTTAAAATACCTGAAAGTTTTAATCGAATGCTATGTAAATTTGTTTAGTTTGCGTATGGTTTTTAATCATGAATTGATATTTGTTGGAGCACTGTTGAAATCAAGTGCACTGGACAGAATTTTCATCGGAATATTTAAGACTCTCGTATAATGTACATCCTCCCTGAATCAAACCTATGACCTTTAGGTCTCGTGGTTAACGTTTTCAGTGGTGTCCCAGCTAATTTGGAAATTAAAACCTGCATGGAAGTTTCATATGTTGATGGATTAGTAGTTATAACTTATTCAAAGTTAGTGTAGATTTATCTAAATTGATACTAACCCCTTGTATCCACTTTACTCGATTCTTAAGTACACTCATCATAGAATCTTAATATGCTGTTTGATCTATGAAAATCGTTGTCTGATCTGATTAATTTAAAAGTAACATAGATAATGGTTATCTTCATACGAATATTCTTCAGTATTAGAACGAACAGTTTGACAAAAATTGAACATCGCGTGTTAAGAAGATTTGATTGTCATAATTACTATGAAGAAGTCCAGACGAGTTTGCTGGACGAAACGTTGAAATTACTTAGATTTCAATTGCTGAGATTATTTCAAATATAATTTTCAAAAGTAGTTATCTTTATTACAAATCGTAATATCTTGTTAATAATCTTTCACATAAATCGTAATTTTGGAAAAACCTAATTACATGTGTTATGGTCATTCCAATGGGACACAATCAATCTTGTTCATATAATCACAATAATTTTAAACGTTATAGCTAAAGATTCGAATGTACAGCAAGACAATACATTTTTACTTATTGTAAATCGATGAAATTCTTATTCTAGTATTGCTTCATCAATGTCACCAAACATACTTTCGTGTGCGAATAAAATTTAGTAGACATTTCTCAAGTAAAACAGGTTCATATAAAAAAGTAAGTCATTCAACAATTATACTACTAAAATTTACACTACTCACCATATTTCTTCCATCTGTTCCTTAGTGCGATGACAACCTGATAATGTCGTTTTACTGAACATTATGGATTACTTGCTCACACATGTTACCCCTCGTGGAGGAGCATAGGCTGCCCACTAGCATTCTACGTCAAACTCTATCCTTGACAATCCTTTCCAGTTGTTTCCAGTTGCTACTCATTCTTTTCATGTCTGCTTCCGACTCCCAACACACTGTTTTGCATTAGTCTCCCTCCTTTCCGTTTCCCTTCAGGATTCCGAGTTAGCGCTTGCCTCATTATTCAGTTTGATGATTTCCCTAATGCATACCCTATCCACTTCCATCGTCTTCCTAATTTCCTCTTCAACTGGAAGTTGGTTGGTTCTCTCCCACAGTAGATTGTTGCTGATGATATCCGGTCAACAACGGACATTGAGCATCTTTCGTAGACAAGTTGTTTATAAGTACTTGTGCTTATGTAATGATAGTTGTGTTAGTTTTTCAAGTTTCAACTCCATACAGTCGAAATGACAGTCTTGACGTTCGTCTTGATGATTCTGACTTGGGTGTTGGCTTGCAGACAGTTATTTCGAGTTCCACATGTTCGTCAACTGTGTGAATGCTGTATTTGCTTTGTCAATCCTTGCATTTACCTCTGCATCGGATCCTTCACGTTCATCGATGATGCTGTCCAGGTGTGTGAAGGCTTCCACCTGTCCCACAGTTTCTCCATCAAGTGTGATTCGGTTTGTGTTCTCCGTGTTGTACTTGAAGATGTTGCTTTTCCCTTACGTATGTTGAGGCCTACTGATGCAGATGCTGCTACTACACTGACAGTCTTCACTTGTATTTGTTCATGTGTATGGGATAGAAGAGTTAGGTCATCCGTGAAGTGAAAATTGTCTCGTTGTCTGCAAGCTGTCGATTGTACTCCGTGTTTCCGATGAGCTATGTGGGTCTTCATAATCTTGTCAACCACCAGCTGATAGAGAAAGTGACAAAGTAGTCAGCCTTGTCTGACTCTGGTCTTCACATGGAATGCACCTGTGAGCTGTCCTCCATGCATTTCTTTGCAGTGTAGTCAGTCGTATGAATTCCGTATGATCTTGACGATTTTTCAGCTACTTACACCATAGTGTGGAAGAAGTTTCCATAAAGTCCTTCTATCCACACTGTCGAATGCTTTCAGTGGAGCTGGTCTATTCAAGAGTTCTTCAAAATATTCTACTCATGTTTTCCCCTGTTCTTGAATCTCGGTGATTGGCTTGCCTTCTTTATCCTTGACCAGTCTCTCGGGTTTACTATATTCCCTTTCCAGTTTCTTCATTGTGTCACATAATTGTCTCATATTTCCTTCTCTTGAAGCTTTTTCCATTGTCGTTGCTAGCTCTTCCACGTGTTTGTGCTTGTCAGTTCTCATGCTCGTCACTTGCTTGTTTGCATCTGCGTATTCATCTTTTGCCTTGACTTTCTCTGTTCTTGTTCGGCTGTTGTTGATTCCTGTTCTTCCTTTTGAGTTTTGTGCAGGATTTCCATAGAGATCCATTCCTTATGATAATGTTTGTTGCGGCCCAGAACCTTCTGACACGTTTAAGTTAAGGCTTCTTTGATTCCTTTTCAGTTGTTCTCCATATTATTTTTCACATCTCTGAGTAGATCTAGTAAGACTTGGAACCTGTTATTGAGAGTTATCTTGAATTCATTCTGCTTGTTAGTATCCGGAAGAAAGGCTGTATTGAACTTTTGTAATGCTGTTTCTCCATTTGTCTAGTACTTCTTTAGCTTCAGTTTCATCATGAAAACCAACAGTTGGTGGTGATCCGAAGTCATATCAACTCCATTCCTGCTTCTCACGTCTTTCATTGACCTTCTGAATTTTTTAGTGATGCAAATATGATCAGTCGGATTCTCTGTTGTGTGGTCGGATGATACCCATGTAGCTTTGTGTATACGCTTGTGTAGGAATACAGTGTCACCTATAAACATTGTGATGAATTTACATACATTTGCAAATCTGTCACCATTCTCGTGTCCTTCTCGCAGTCAATCCTTGTCGTCCCATGATATCTTCGTACCCAATGTTGTCCATCCCAACTTCGGCGTTCTAGTCTCTCATCAGGATGGTCGGGTCGTTTCCTGAGCACTTCGCTATGATCGACTGCAGCCTCTCGTTAAAATGGTCCTTGTGTTATGTCGGTTACTATGTTCAGCCCACATAACTTGTTCTAGCTTCTGGACAGGCCTATTTATTCATTCTTCTTGAGTCACGTTTTGACCTCGTCAATTATTCACTTATTAATCCTGACTGTTTTTATATGAGCGTATGTGTGTACACTACTTATCTCATTCATCACATGTCTGTAATTAATTTTTTGTGACTATAAATATTGATTAACCCTCGATTAAATGGAGTTGGCTCACACACCATCTCCAACGTGCGTCGTTTCGCTTCATTCTCTGTGATCCTTTGGTTGTCTGTTCCGATCAACGAGTGTACAAAATAGGCATATTCAAACATTCATTTTCGTATTTGACTTATTTAATTCCGTTATACACTAACGCGATTTAAGTCGATAATATTATATGAGGATTGACGATATTTATATTTCAATAACAATTAATTATAAAAACCAATTAGAGTCAGATATCTGTCCACTAAACTTTTCGTCGTCGTTGCTATAATTGGTGGGTGCGTAACATTGGATAACATTCATTGTGATCCCCTCCCTCTTTATTTCGAAGGATGCTTTCATAATCCTGCATCCATGAGATTCTCATGTTATAAGTGCTTTACGTGTTTCTTTGGATAGCATCAGAACAACTCCCCGAGTGGACAGAGCATTCTCCTCTTCATGACCCGAGTACAGCAACATCTCTCCCGAATCTAACCTTTTCTGTCCAACTTGGGTCCAGTCGGTTTCACTAATTCCGATCGCCACCAAGTTGTATATCCTCATTTCCGCAGCTATTTGATTTTTATAGTTGTGTACGCACCTATTAATTCTACTCACACAAATATTCCTTATCTTCTGATTTTTTTCCGTCTACGCACATCCATCTAATCAACTATAAGATTAGTTTCTTTATTTCCTTTATTTCCCTTGTTATGACGTGTGATAACCTAAAATTACATTCGTGTGCTGCAGTGACCCACTAATTCAGCGGAAAAGTACTCGAAAATGTTAAATATTATTGCGCCGTCACTGAATGAATATTGAAAACGGATGGTTATTCTCACACTTGCAACTTAAGTGGTACATATTTCCTACCTTTATCAGGTCATTTGTATAAGGCTTGATTTTTTTTTCACGTTGGTAACACTTCCTGTCGTATACATGACATTTGTTTATCAGACTGCTGAATTGATTATACACCTTTCTTTGTAACAGAAAATCCTGTACTTCAGTTTGTTTTGCGTTGTTTGTATGTGTATTTATGCTTGTTCGTTTATTTGTGAGGATTTGTATATAATATTTGTACTTGCTGATGCGAACATCTGAATCGATGTACACATTCTGATTCGGTTCACCTTGTTTCTAGTCAATAATTAATCACTCCATGAATGACTCACTATATCGTCACTGACTGGATTACGGATTCCGCTCCACAGGGAGCATTTGTTTCTTCAATATTATCGTAGATGGATTTTACCGTCGATCCGCATATCGTAAGAAATCCAGATCCAGAGTTTCGACAACCTCCCCAACACAAATATTTACTCCGTATTTCAGTGATAGACCATTTTGAACCGAGATTCATGTAATCTTAAATGTATAGAATTTAATATGAAGATGTGAACTGGTTTTCTCAATTCTCTATGTTGTCTTGTCATTATGATTTGATTAAATGCGACCTTAAATTCTTTTTCTTACAACTGGAAATGTTGTATTCTACCTTCGAGTACAGATCATTTGGGGATAAGAAATCAGTGTCGGTTACCTGAATGTTTATAGATTAATGTCTGATTGGCTTATCTGCAAGATATAGATTCACAACAGTCATCCTCATCCGGTCGATAAATGCGCGCGCAAGTGTGTGTATGTGTACTTGAAGTTCATATAGGCAATCATGTGATCATTAAATGGTAGATCTAGCTCTTTCTATCACACACACGTACAACCACTCTGCAGTTATGTGCGGACGTGCATGTTTTTCATTCTCCATTTTTCATACTGGATGAATGTTATTAATATACATATATAAGTGTATGTCTATGTATAAATACATATCTGCGAAATGTATGTTTCCATGTTGACATTCATGGTGAATTGACGAGTATTAGAACGACAACCTAAGCTTAAATTTCTTCTCTTACAAACGTTGTTCGTTTTTGCTATCTCCGTTGTCATCGTCATCGTGGTTGTTAATCCTCCCACTGACTAGTTGGTTAAGTGTACACTACTACTGCTACAGTGTTGGAGTGATTATTAACAAAATCTTTTGAGTTAGTCTGGATATATAAATCAATGTGTCGTAGATGAGTGACCTGATATTTTGTCAGTCATCTTGTATGTATTCAACGAATACCTCGAACACATTACTACATATATATGTATTTATGTGTGTGTGTTTGGAACATTGAAATGCAGTCAATAAATATGTATACAGATTGCATGCCTGATTATTCAATCAATATTCTAGCTTCTTACTGCCTACTTTGATTAGAAACTAAGGCAAATAATGGAGTCAATAGGTGAAATGACTTATTTATTATGTAAGATGATTAGAAATACTCCTCTTCCATTCTCAAAATCAGTCATGATATGAATTTTTTTTATCGAAAAGAAAAAGGGAGTCAAATACTCAATGATGTGATTTAGGACTATTGATGAAGGACTATACTCTGAAACGTTATGAACTCGATAGTGATTTTCGGATTTCGAGAAATTAATTTCAAATTAATAGTATTCTTCTGTCTTTCAAACTAATCGTTAACGTGTTGTATTCAAAGAGATGAGCTAGAGCATTCAGTTTTAGTTATGCTGAGTTTTACACTAATGAATTCATTTGGTTTTTAGATGGTTTTAGGGAAGCATTACCCTCATCCTACATTGAGATTTCACAGGAGTACTCACTCATGAATCCTCACGGAGTCGAACCCCAGGACCTTCAGGTCTTGTGGTGAGCTCGTTAATTTCAAACCACCGAGCCTGCAATTAACAAGCCACATTTCCAGCTTCACAATAAAGTTCAACAACCCTTTGGGTTGTATTTTACAATTGATTATTCTTGAAAGTTATGTTGTATTATAAACATGAATTTCCAGTTTTATTTGTCCAATCCAAAATCACTACTATGAGGGATTTTTAACGCGATTTCTGTTTACAACAAAATGGTTTGTTGTTGTTGTTGCGATGCGGTCATTGTTGCTAAACTAGGAATTTTTGTTTAAATATTCGATAATTCTTCCGATAATACTTGTTAAAAATACAAATTATTTTTCATGTTCCGTTAAGAATTAGTTCAATTAGCTTTTTTATTTAGATTGTCTATATTTTCGTATTATCTACTGCTATAGTTTAATACTTTAGTAATTCGCGTGACTATCGTAACCAATGGTTGTAGACTCTTGGTGACATGGCTCAGAATCGATTACAATGGCGTCGGTGTATACACTCTCTGTCTTCCCTTAAACTAAGAGATTAAAATCGCTTCATATCTTTCTTTCTACGAACTAATTCTTTCTTCCTGTACTATATCCTTATTGCAATCTTTCTTTTATATATTACCACTTCTGAATTAACTACTTTTATGAATCCGGTGTTCATCTTGTTGTGTTAATGAGGTATGGAAACTTGGACCGATGCATATATGTGCCTGGTCCTACGTTGTAGCTGACTGACTTGAGTAATTTGTAGGCAATTGGTTCCCAAAAATTTTACATTAAATATGACTCACTGATTTGATATATTCCCTAGTGTTATAGAATTACGTCATATACTTAAAGCCTCACTAAATACTTTAACATATTTGTACTTTATGACACGGTCTTATTTCACCTAGGGACATCCTGAAAACTAGAAGGCATACTAGACAGCTGTTTTGACCTTGTATGAGACAAGCGAACACATTGTACCTATGACCTCTGAAGGACTCGGTCCCATGACGTACTCGTGAAATCCAGACCTTTTGAGTTAATATGCAGTGGTTGACAACTTTAACTTCAATCGATTCGCTATTTTGCGAACCCGTCGTTTATTTGCATCGATGATATCTGTCTTACATCCAACATGACTGAACTCTACCAGTTACAATTCCTAAATAGAATTTTTAGGATTTATCTCGAAGTTATTTACTAATGAGCCAATAAAATTTTTATTAGTTTAAAAAGGGTTGTGGAAATTTTCTAGGTGTAGTCAGTCTGTAGAGAAAACCATAAAATGGAAAATATCCACTAATCTTTGGTAAGAATATGTAGAATAATTTGAAAGGAATGTGTTTTTATCCGTTATTTGATCTCGACTTTTTAACTGTACTTTTTTAAAGGCTGTCCTCATTTTCAACTTGTTAATGTTTTGATTATATATTATCATTCCTGTCTTAATCTTCTAGTATATCAATTTATACAACATACTACGCTAACTAATCCGAATAGCAATACAGATGTAATCAACACTACTGCTATTAATGATGGTCAATACAGTAGTAGTATTGGTAGTATTAGCCTTAGTGGGAACGGTAGAACAGATTCAACTAGTATTGACAATCGTTTTATGAATTCTGTCCCCCAGACTGGTATACGAAGAAGACCAGCAGAAGTAGCAAATGCAGAAATGCATCAACAATTCAATCATTTCAATTTGAAAAGGCCACGTTTACAAACATCTGACAATGTACATTCATCGGTAAGTTTAACGCATACATTACTAATTTCGAAATTTTTTATTATGAATCCTTATCTGGATATTATAAACGTATAAAGGAAAAAAGTCTATTACGACACATATAAGTTGACTACAGAGAGAGAAAAAGATTCATCGAAGACATTTGTCAGCTATTCCACTTTTATAGAAGAAAACGGAAAAAATCTGGTGAAAATATTTTCGTATCAACGGTTTGATCTGGTAAAGTTATACAATGATATATAGATGTATATATTCCGCCTGGAGCCCTTTTAGGGTTACTACCGGTCCCAATTCTAAATAATGAAGTGTTGGGCATGGAGTTAGCAACCACATCCCGTAGGAGAGAACTGTGTTGAAAAGCGCTAATCAGAAATATACATACATATGTATACATATATTGAAAAATAGGATTTAGTTGGGTCACTAATAATACTCGGAAATGAAGCTAGTATGTTTATGAGAAGTATGAAATATATATGCCCACTTGACGAATGTAAAGAAGGTGAACATGAAGAAGAATAAAAAGATGGTGAAGAAGAGGAAATCAAGTTTTAGAGCTATAATAAATCGAGAGTTACTTTTACACACACAGAATTCGAATGGGCGTTGCTGAGTAGCTAAAACCTTCACACTTCACAGCCCTTTGATCTTCATTTCCTTTAAACCAGTTCACGCGACTGTATGGATAACTCTAGTGGACCAACCTGTCTAGTATTGAGCTGTTGATTGACTAGGGTTCATCTTTTATGAGTCAGGGTAATCTCTTTAGAAACAACTTACGTTGTGCAGCTGATTTAACCTGCTCCATAAAAGCCAGTAATCTCATGTATCTGTATTAGTCTGCTTTTTTCCAGTCTTTTAAATTGACATATTATATTAAACCGAAATATAGACGCAATTTAGATACTTCTGCTTTACTAAATTCACCAATCTGCTCACGTACGCAAGTCTTATCACTATAACATAACATTTATTGTAGCAAAAGAAAACTAATTAATACTGTTTTTTTGGTTAAAATATGTTCTCATCTGGATTCAATGACTTTTTGTCAGCTAAAAAATCAATATCGGCCTATTCTTCCTCACTATCTATCGTTCGACCAATCAAATCATTTTACACTTTGAGAAGTCACTTATGTAATTGAGTTCAATAATAGTTTCTATGTTGAAATATAAACAAGGAAGTTGAGTGTAGGAGTATATCTATCAGATACACATCATTTATCAACGTAACCTGACATTTTATTTTGTCGTGATTAAAAATACCTACGAAGAAAATGAAAGTGTATTATGTCAACTGTTGTGACTTTAAGGTCGTCTAATTATCACGTGATTTATTCGTCAATCGAAATATGACTTATTGAATCTTAGTACTGTACTAAACCAATGAATTTCGACCGGTATGAGCGGCCTAGTGTCCTTATTAGTCCTTTGTACTTGTAGCCCGTTCAGTTGAGTCCAGAACGTCAATAACAGCTCTGAATATTCGAATCATTTATTTAAAACATACTTGGTTTATATACCAGCCAAACAGACCACATCACACCATAACATAGGAAACAACATTTATACGAAATCAAGCCAAAATGTGTCTGTGAACGTGGGAGACGGTAATTAATAAACTGAACATAGTTTACGAACAATAAAATATATACTAATAATCTATAGGTCAAAATGAAGCTTATTGTAAGGGGAATATAGATATAAATAATCTAGTTACTGAACAGTTATACAATATATATATATATATATATATATATATATATATATATATATATATATATATATATATTAGTCCATTAATAGCTCTCAGGAGTCACCCGTGATTTTATCTTCAATAGGGTATAACTATCGAGGAAATTCAAGTACATCATTGTTGTGTCATTTTGTTGATCTTCCAACAAGTTTGCACATTGATTTTGTCATATAATAAGAAAACTACTGATAATCCAATAAATGATCCAAACATATACTGGCCTCTCGAATAAATGATTGCTGTAGAGTTCCGACCTGGTTCAAGATTAAAGTAAAACTGATTATAAATTTAGAACTACTTGTTAGCTACGTGAAACTGCTCTGTACACACTTATATTTCGTTACATTTCCTTTTATCGATAGATTCATTATTCTCACGGTTTATATAATCATTGGCTAATAAGCTGCATAACAATTTAAAGGTTACCGCTTATAATCACTAGTACACTATGTAGTTTTACTCTAACCATTTTCATATAAAATTATCATGAACGAAGCATTATCTTGTAATTTGATTGCTAGTTTTTGATTAGTATAACCTTTTAATGTTTAAAATCATAAAACATATGTTATTTGGAAGTTTTATTTTTATTCAAAGGGATCATTATAGTTTTTGGTTAGCTACAATGGTTTATTGATTCAACAATTTATCTATCGGCTATTATTCACCAACTGGATCCAATATGTCTACTTCCTCGTACTAGGATTTCAGTGGTCAGCTTCATTCACTTGTATACTGAGTATCTGAATTAATTAGTGAAATAATTTTGTTATTTACGGAGTTGTGATATTGTATAGTTGTGTACGCATTTTAGTGGCTTATATCTGACTCCAGGTCAATTATATGAATTACTGTTATTGAAATATACATATCGTCAATCCTCGTATAAAATTATAGACTTAAATCGTGTTAGTGAATGACGGAATTAAATAAGTCTCATGCGAGAATGAATTTCGAATACGTGTATTTTATACAATCGTTGATCCAGACAAACAATCAAAGAAACGAAGCCAATAAAGCGAAGTGATGAAAGCGAAGCGAGATGATGCTCAGTGGAGAAGGCATGTGAACCTACTCGATTTAATCAAGCGTTAATCGATATTAATAGTCAGAACAAAAATAAGCTACAGATATATGATGAATAGGATAAGAAGTACATACACATACGCTCATATGACAACAGGTAATTTTGATAAGCGAATAACTGACAAGGTCAAAATGTGAATCAAGAAAAATGAATAAATTGATCTATCTAGAAGCTAGAATAATCTGTATCATCTTAACATAGCAACTGACACTACGTTCTCTTTAATGCACATAAAAAAAAACGTTTAGATAGTCATGTAGTAATGATATCAACATACAGATATTGGATTTTTCTGGAAGGAGAAAAAAAAACAACAAATTATGACTATCACAAATTAATTAAATTACTCTTTACTTGTCTTCATAAATAATTATACAGATTTAGCATTTAAAACACCTCTAGTAAACTGTTATAAATGAACTCAGCTAGACAATTGGTGTAAATAGTTGTGATGACCCCTTTACTGTTTAAATGTTTCGATGAACGTTTATTAGTTTCAGTTAACATTTAGAAAAAAGAACGCGTACTCAAATCATCTTGGCAATTAGTTTCATATATTACTAGTTAGAAGTGATATGAAATTTATTAAGAGAGTAGTATTTATATTTATTATTGTTAATGTTGAGTAGAAGTTTTTTTGCGAATTTATCCCTCAGAGTTTATCACATATATCACTCACCTCATTCCAGATGGAATACGGTTTGTGTTGTCTAAAATAATGAAAACGTTTATAAATACTAATTTCTTCATTCTTATATATACCGGATTTTTGTTGTTGTTGTTGAAGTAGCCTATAAAAGTTTCTTATTTCTAGTATTATTAATTTATTTATTGGATTTGATGTTATTGTTGTAACATTCACAGGAACTGTGACTAAAATTGGGATACATAACTATGCACTAGATAAATGAATTATAAAAAAAAAATTAAAAGATATTCCTTCTAAGCTATGCTTTAAAAATCTATAAGTTGCAAGTTTCAACCTTGCTCCTATGTACATCAGCTTAAAAAGTCTGACAAAGTATCACTAGTTCAAAAATAAAAACTAAGCGGTTAAAGGTTATTACTCAAATTTGCATGGAAACTGTAAAAAACAAACATATTAAATTGGTATCTGGATATCTAATGTATATATATTCAGCTTCTCACTAATAAAACAATGACTCGAAACATACTTAATTTATTTTACCTTTGATAATCCTGTAATACACTAACCTACACATATATTACACAGCTCAAATCTGAATACATCAATTTATACATCTTAATGAAGTGAAAAACAGGGTACATTTATAAAATGAAATGCAAATGCATTCGAAAATTCATCTGTTTTTGTAATCACTTTGAGCCTGTTCGTAAGTTTATCACTGTTTTAGGTTTATTATTATTATTATTACTATTAAAATATTCCAGGATGTTGAATATATCGACTTGTCGAATAGTGTACATTCATCTCAAATAAATTGTACAACTACTAGTCCGTTAGATCTAACTGAAGAAGAACAATTACAACTGGCTATTGAAGCATCTAAAAAGGAGGCTAAACGACAATTGGTAAGATAATAATAAAATCAATTTATTCTATATATATAGCAATGTAAGCTTATTTATCATATATCGATTTAATGTATTTGGATTTAAGCTACACTATTGTTATTTGAGAAGGCTAAAAGCAATAGTACTCAATTGTTCAAATCGAAGTAGAAGGGTAAGGGTGCTTAGTGAGATGAACTTGCAATCTACTAGTTGAAATCCGGATGTTCTTTACCCCTATATAGCATCGTTTTTGTGTTCAGATTTAATTCAAACTGTTTATATATAGAGGGTTAGTCATACTAACCGGTACACAGTTTAAAAGCTGAATTAATCATTCAAACCAGTGAACAACCGTCATTTTTTAAAGAAATTTATCACTTTCCTAAATCTGTCTATATATGTACTATATATACTAGTAAGATATATGAATACTAAATAACCTGTTAGTTGAAAGAATAGTCAGCACATAACTTTTTCATTAAAATCATTAGCCGATCAATTTTACACTATTATTGAAAACTTAGAAGCACTGGAATATCGTTTCGTCCTAATATGAGACTCTTCAGCAGTGCACATTCATGATCAGGTTGTCAACGGTAGTCTAACACATCGATTCATGATTTCAGTGCAGTTCAACAATCTCCAGAACTTTATTCGGACATTACTTTTTCTTATGCTTTAAATAGTGTCTAGATACTTTCTTGGAAAAAGTACTGTGAAGAAATTTACGGTAGTATTAATAGTAGTGTAGTGAACAAAAATCAGGTGCGGAGGATGTTGGGGACGTTAAATCCCCAGAACGCATTTAGGAAAGGACCTAATTTTGTAATTCTATTTAGAAAATTTGAGTTTCTTTGTTTTCGCGCCAAAGGCGCTCTTGTCACCATGTCGTATTTCCCACTGGGAAATATCTTAAATACTATTGGTCCATTGTGTCTTTTATTGTGATATTTGTTAACTCTCTCCAAGGACGGTTTTGTACTATATATATATATATATATATATATATATATATATATATATATATATATATATATATATATATACGTTTTGAATTGTGTTTGTTGTTATCGCTCGTTTCTGGCTGTTTGCAGAATATACTTCCCCATTCCAAGCTTGGACTTCTCCCTCTAGTTAACGGGGCTGGGACGCATCAATAGCTAGCTTACTGGTCTTTGACCACCGAGTCTTGTTTATCCTTCACAGATTCAGTGAACTCGTGATATCTTCAATCCTAGCAGAGGACTAATTTATTTTCTAATACAAAATTGCAGAGTGCCTTCGTAAATTATGAAAACTATACATGCTAGATGTACTATTTGCAGTCATTAGGATAGGACAAAAATATATTTATTATGTTTCATGATTATTTCAATTCTGTTGTTATTACAATTACTCTCTGTTTACATTTCTGTTCTCTCCAATTCGATCTTCTCACTCTTCTCCTGTCAGGCATTCTACTTCTGATTCGTGTTACTTACTACTTATATCTATCGACGGAAGTAGCATACACCACTGTAGTAGTAGCTCGTGTGTACATTTATTAGTATGTGAAATATCTCATTTCTTTTTCAAACATATATATGTATACTAAACAGTTAATGTTTGTATATACGTAATATATCAAGCGTAAACTTTACATAAAATGAAATATTTGCAAAAAGTAAAAACATTATCACTTACATAATTTTATTGTTTTCCCTTCTTCTCAACATTATATTTCATCCTAAATACTATTAGATTTTTTAATTAGAAATATGCTAAGGTGGTTACAAGGAAAGTCGGATTTTATTAGAAAGGCTGAAATCTTTTCAGGAACGATAATCACTCGCACATATTCTACTAATTCAATTTTTCGCATAATCTTTGTCCTCTGATTGGTTGTCATGTTTTTTAGTTGGCTAAATTGCTGCATGATTAAAGGTTATACTCTGCTACTATAGTAATAACTTTCGCACCAGTTCCGATTGAGTTGCTTGTTCTACCACAAATATCGAGTTACCTGCATTCCCGTCTTCTTCATGTGTTAGCTGTCGAGGTTCAATGTATTGAGTATAATTGACTGTTTTCAGTTCCAAAGAGAACCGATCGTATTAGAGTAGCTCAATCGTTCTCGTTCCTAGATCCGTAACACCATAGGCCATTGAAAACATTGAACAATTGTTTTACTGCGTTATGGAACTTTTTAATAGTGCACATTCGAAACCTTACCGAGAATCGAACTCATGACCTTTAGATCTTATGACATGCACTTAACTTTTGGACTATTCAATGGATTACTTGTGAATTTCTCACTTCAGATTTCTCTCTAATGCTTCCTGGTTTCCTCTAGTTATATAAGGTTAGCATGTAATGTAAACTATAGAATGTTAAACTATCGTTCGCATCATTGTCTTTATAAATAAAATCACCAGTCTATATTTCAAAAGAAAGAATTGAAGAATGAGAATTACTGATAATAAACCAATTATCTACAAAGATATCAGTATGATTCCATCGGCTTAGAACAATTTATTACTGACTTGTGAGAAAGCATTTTCATAGATCACTTCTTTTCTTGAAGTATGTATATCAATTATGTTGTTATTTGAATGAATGAAAAGTTTATAATTATGAAACTTTTCATCTCCGAAAATACAACACTTAGAAAATATGCTACATTAGTTTGATTTTCAATGTTCCAATATTATTATTCAACATATTCATAACTGATTTATTCACTGACGACTCGTAGAAGTCATCTTTTTGACTGGAACTATTACAATCGCTTTTATTCTCTGTTTACTATTTTATTTTTTATTCAGTTCACTGATGACAGTGAGATAGTTCTCACAGATGATGAAGATGATGACGATGACAATGATGAAGAATATATGAATGGCAATAGACGTTTAGACACTGATATTGACCAACAACAATGTGATCATGAACAAGATAAAAAGCAATACACACATAATACATATGAAGACGATGATTGCGTTGTAGTTGACTATCCTAAAAAGCCTAGCAGTTCATCATTTGTTTCGTCGACTACAGCATTTATTACAGCAAGAAGACCGTTAAGACCATCAGAAAAGTTAAGTGAATCAACATCCAATAATGATTTGAAATCAGATATTTTGACCGTATTACCTACTCCAGCACCTGGTGAAGCGGTTATGGAATTACTTTTTCGTTTACCCGATGGTAATCGTGAAGTCCATCGACTTCATCCTACTCTCAAGTTACAGGTAAATTTAACTATTTTCGAATGTTTTCTCTCTCTTTTGTTTTATCGGTATCAAAAGAATTACAATCATGTGAATAATGAACATTTGCACTGGATTTATATAATTTGATGTCATAAGTGAGGAGTCGCTTAGAGTAAACCAATTTTCATTTTATTATCGGACAAGTTGAATCAAGACAAGCAAATTAATACTTAAAGGAAATGTCAAAATCTAAAAATGACTTACTGTGACTATATACTTTTAGTGAGATTTGGCAACATAGATTCTCCCAAGCATGTATTCGTGCTAGGTCCTATATTAATAATTAATTGATCAATATCACAACATGATCTTCGTTCAACAATATTTAGAAACTGGAAGGCATTGAGCATCTTTCTCATTTTACGATTTGTTTCTTCAACAGTGTGTATTTACTATCCTACTACCGATCTAATCCAGGATCTCCAAGTCAATTTTACAACGTACCAAGTAAAATAGGTAAGTTCATCTTCTTAGTGATTAGTTCGAAATGAGTTGAAACATGTCGGGTACGAGGCAGTTACTCACCAATGACTTCGGAAGGCAGTTGCAGAATATCACTAATTGATTGAATTTGGAAATGTAAACTGTTGGATCACGGCTTGGGGATCTAAATGTTAAGCGCCTGCTGTAAGACTTTAAGATCTTGAGTTGGGTTGTAGATGTCCACTGATGAGAAGTGGCATACTAACATAAAACAACTGTCCAGTGTTTCCTGATTTTCAATATTCGTTTAGCTAAATTCAGTTTGTATTGTAAACTAGGGAATTCAGCAATCTCCACAAAACTGTCACTCTAATAACCGACTTTTGTTGCTACTGTAATAAGCTATACTAGGTAATCAAGTGGACTGATAATTTTGCCTGTTTAATCGCTCAACTTTCATCTATTGAATCTCAGATTCAAGCTTTCCTTTATGGATACCTAGATATTATAAAATGCATGATTTATAGTTTATCATAGAAGTTTTTATCGGTTTAATGAGTCGAAAGGTGTTCAGTCAGTCAGTCAGTAACAACGTAGAACTTCGTACGTACGTACATCAGTTCGAGTTGCCACACCACATTAGCACAGAGATGCAGTGGTCGATTCAAATCCCGTAGTGGTAGAGGTAGCAAGAGTATAAGCAGTAATCGGGAAGATTAGGGTTTGGAGATGTTATTTAAAGAGTATAATCCAGTGAAAGAAATTTGGAAAGAGGGAAAAAGGGACATGAAGAATTCAGAAGATTAGAATTTGGGAGAACACAGAGAGTGGATGCACCTGCGCCATTGCGAACGATTTTCAGCCATGTCATTCAGGGTCTCTAACCATCGGTTGCTGTCATCTCGCGGTCCCCAACCAGGTAGTCTACACCTACCAACATGACTCAGTTCACTTGTCAGTGACTTCATGGACTTGAGCCATGTTTTGGTTTGGCCGCCCCTAGCTTTCTTCCAACCTACTCCTATACCACTGAACATAGCACGTCGAGGCAGTCGGTCGTTGGGCATACGTAACACGTGTCCCAGCCATCTCAACTGATGAAGTTTCACTACGTCATCAATTGATTTGCCATCCTTACCTAGTACCCGTTTTCTAACAACTGTGTTACTTAATCGATGGTCCCATGATATACGAGCAATGTTTCGAAGACACCTATGATCAAATACTAGTAGCCTACGGATATCCTCTACTCTTACCGGCCATGTTTCACTGCCATAAAGTAGGACGGAACGAACTGCTGCGCAGTAAACACGTCCTTTGTTTGATAGACGGATATCTCGCCTACGCCATAAATGACGCAAGTTGGCAAAAGCTAGTCGAGCCTTCTGTATCCGTGCTGAGATTTCGTCACACACCAAACCACAAGGGCTGATGAGACTTCCAAGATAAGTGAAGCGGTCGACACACTCAACTACTTCACTCCCTATCACTAGTTCGGGTGTCGATGTAACCCAATCCTGAAGCAACATTTTGCATTTCGAGGGAGAGAATCGCATCCCGAACATGCTTGCATTGTTGCTTAGAGTGGTCAGAAGACTCTGCATTTTGTCAGCGTCTTCACCAAATAAAACGATGTCATCTGCATATTCTAAGTCAACAAGTGAACCTCCTGGTAGAAGTTCAACCCCTGTAAATTTAGATGAGGAGAGTGTTATCTCTAAAAGTACGTCAATGACAAAGTTGAACAAGGTGTTCGATATCAATTCATGTTGCTACAGAATTTTAACTTTATTATCTTGTCAAGTCAGATGTTATTTATTAAAGTGTTTAATTTTAACATTCTAGCCATTTATAATTAAGTGTTAAGACCATTGAACATATGATAATTTTCGTATATATACTTAATATTCTTTTTTCATGTTTAGTACTATTCTTTATCCCGATGTAAACTTATGACTTAGTCATTGAAAAATGACTTTTAACTAAATGAATTCTTGAACCGTTTGATGTTAGACCACCTTTGGAAACCTGGAAGCACTGGACTGCCGTTTCGTCCTATTGTGGGACTCCTCAGAAGTGCACAGTGCTCAGTGGTCCAGTAGGTTAAGCGTTCGCGCGCGAGACCAAAGGCCCTAGGTTTGAATCTCGCGAGCGAGATCGTGGATGCGCACTGTTGACGGGTCCCGCAATAGGACGAAACGGCCGTGCAATGCTTCCAAGTTTCCAAAGGTGGTCTAACATCAAACGATTCATGATCTCAATCAAAAACGTAATAATCTCCACAACCCCTATACTAGTAAATGAATTTTAATGGTTGAGATCATGAGTCAATTGAAGCTAGACTATCATGGAAAACCTGGAAGCACTGGACGCGACTAGGTTAAGAATATTAATCATATTATATACTGTTGTGTATTTTTTAAACGACTTACAACTTATCTCAAAGCTAAATACTGGGAAATTCAAACGGTGCTATCTTATTGGTTTATATATACATTTACCTCATTCTCTTTTCTTTAAAGAAACGAGTTGATTACATTGTAACTTGTGCTTTAAACATATATAGGATGTAAAAATTTATTTTATGGTGAATCAGTGGTTATATCACATATGTTATACCTAGAACTATTTGCCATATTCAGTCTACTAAGTATTAAATAATTTATTTAGCTCATTGTTTACAGACCCATTTACTTGACTTTGAATCACACTTTTTTAGTGTAAGAGTCAGTGATACTATTTCCTTGTTCTAATCGTAGTAAATTAACATTGATTCGGTCATGTAAGTCGTTAGTTGGACTCCAATTGTTTAAACTATTAACTTCCCATTTCACCAGTATTGTCATCCTTTTTATTATTATTTACTTTCACATTTCTAGTGTACTTTAATCATTTATACTTATCAACTAAACTATACTACTACTAATAATACTATTATTATTATTATTATTATTATTACATAATGAATGATGTTTATTATGCAATATGTTGTTGTTTTCCAATTATTAATATTCTTTTCTTTTACTATACATTATAAATTAGGATCTACATTCATACTTTGAATATCGTGGTTATCCAATTAATAGATATGAAATAGTTCGTATTCATCCTAATCTATGTCTTTCATCAATGCATCAATCAATTTCTTTGACAGTTGCCGGTCTGTCCACCAAAGATACTTTGTTTATACAAGAACGTTAAAAGTCTTTAATGTTGTACAGAACTTATTCTATGGTTAATTTTTTAATCTATATATATAGTAGTGTTTTAACATATCTTTGGGATTTCTAACCTTATTGTAATACTTACCTGCTCTTGTTAATTGAATTTGATCTTTTTGTATTGATCTGCAATTGTAACCACTAATATTATAACCATAGGATAACTGTATATGTACAATAGCTATTCCTTTCAAACAACATTTTCATTTAGATGAGATAATTGTACTTCTTACTCTTCTTCTTCTTGTTTTTCCTCGTCTTCTTCTTCTTCTTCTTCTTCTTCTTCTTGTTTTTCCTCGTCTTCTTCTTCTTCTTGTTTTTCCTCGTCTTCTAAAAATTAATTTTATTTTGAAAAAAATCTCTTTTTTTTATCAAAATGTGACAAATGGTTTTCTTTTCTTTCAAAAAGTGATTTTCATTCAAAGGTTGAATGTTCCATTTGTGTTGTTCAATTACTGTAGGATTGTTTTGTTTTTTTTTTCTAAAAAAAGAAATTCTTATTTCTATCTCTATTCTTGTCGTTATTGATCATATACTTTTATTTAGGATCATCGATTCAATGAAAATGAAATTTGGATGAAATGCCCATAGAGATATTATGATCTTTCATATTTATTCAATTGATAATAGCAGTAATAATAATAATAATAATCATTATTATTATTATTGTTACTACAACCTAAACTGCACTCTTTATATATATATATACATATATACCAGTTTGTTAATGTGTCTTTCGATTGTTTTACTGTTGGAGAGTACCTCCCCCGCCCACTTGCGTTCAATGTTCCAATATTATATTGTCATTATTATTTATAAGTTTGTGAAACGAAAAAAAATATGATTAGGAAGAATGTTACTGTTTACTTATATGTATACATTTTAATTTGTCAATAAATATAACACCTTGTCATCGTTAAGAAATATAGTTTTATTGAGTAAACAAACAAACAAACAAGATTATGTGTTCTCTTTAATTTACAATGGATATTAAACATTTCATGTTGTTGGTTGTTGTGTTATTTTACCTTTATGGTTCAGTATGTATGTGTGTGTGTGTGTGTGTGTTGTTGTTGTTTTTCAATTTGTTATCTGAGTTGAATTTTGTTTTGTTTTATGATAAATTCTCACTAATGTTTATTTTGTTTATCAGTAATGATTAGATATTAACGTTTGTTAATAAGACAGGGTGAATAATTTTTAAGGTTTCTTTTTTTTTTATTTTCTTCATATTGTATTATCCTGTATAAATTTTTTTTTGTTGTTGTATATAATTGTGCAATGTTTACAAAGTTAAGCATTTACAACATAATTTTGTTGATCAATACAGGTTACTTATTTGTCAGTGGTTGACTAGAGATAACCTTGACAAATAGATTATAGAATATACATTTCATCCTATATGAAATTGGTCAATTGAATGTACTTTCATATCATTATCAATGTTAATAATGTTCTAAGTTCAATTAAAAAAAAAAACAAGAGGCTATTTTCTAGCTATACAAATGTTCAAGTAAATAAAGTACATTTGTTTGTTTAAACTGAAATCATTGAAATTTATAATTATTATTTCACTTATTCAATTCTAAATTTCATTCTAGTATTTTGTATTACGTAATGATAAAACTTTAATGGAAAAAACAACAATAACAACAACAATCTGAAAGTATCAAAAGTGTAGACTACTTGGTTGGGGTCCTCGTGACTGTCGTAACCAATGGTTGGAGACTCTTGGTGACATGGCTCAGAATCGATCACAATGGCGTCGGTGTATACACTCCCTGTCTTCCCTTAAACTAAGAGACTAAAATCACTTCATTCTTTCTGTCTACGAACTAATTCTTTCTTCCTATACTATATCCTTATTGCAACCTTTGACCTAAACACTCCTATGAATCCGCTGTTCATCTTGCTGTGCTAATGAGGTATGGCAACCTGGACCGATGCACATATGTGCCTGGTCCTACGTTGTAGCTGACTGACTGACTGTAGTATCAAAATAGCATTCACATCAACTAAGTTGAGTACATAAATGTTTACTTAATCAATGAATTACATTTAGATTACGGTAATAATTCAATGATTCTTTCTTACAATTAACAAAAAAAAGTCTACTTAAACTTATAAAATTTTTGTGAATACTATAAAGATTATGCTTGCTGGTCGGCGGCCTATGCTCCATTGGGAGTAACAGGCGTAAGTAAGTAATAAAGATTATATTGGAAATATTTTCTAGAATTTAGATAAGACCATTATTATTATTATTATTCTAAAATAAAGTACCAAATTTTTCTTATAGGGGTATGAAAAATACTTTTAATGTGGTGTGGCAACTCGAACTGATGTACGTACGTACGAAGTTCTACGTTGTTACTGACTGACTTTAAGAAACACTTTTCATAAACATGTTTTTTTTATTGTTTGAGTTTATATATGCCTCTTTGTTAATATTCAGAGTTCAATGTATAAATAGTCTTGAGATGGTAGAGAAGATTTAGTAGCTCAGCTGGATGTATCCACCTCATAGAATAAAACTCCATCAAAGTATAAATAGTCTTTATTGACGTATAAGCTTCTTCATTAAAATTGATCGAAATTCTTTATGTTTTCAACGTAATGATATTACTGTGACAGTAAATGGCGTTGGGACTAATGATACGCATTTTATCCATATAAATTCAAATAAAAAAAAATTGTACACAATGTTAGAAATCATTTTTCCTCAGTCTCATACACATAGTTTTCTTTATCATTTCGAAAACAGCAAGAACAAACATTCTAGTAGAATAGCATGAATTTATTTTTATTTCGTCTGATTCTCATCAACTGCCTACAACCTGTGATTTTTAAAACCATTATTACATAATGGGTTTAAACTACTTACATGAGAGGGTTTGGTTGGAAGTTCTGTTGAAGACACATTTCTATAGTATAGCAAGGGTGTAAATAAATTTATTAGACTGAATATTGTACCTTATGTAAAAGAACATTCTACAACATTGATTGTGACAACAGTTCAAACGGCTAGAAACAAGTGATTACATAATGAATAAATATTGATAGGAATCTAGTAAGTAGAGCTCAGTTGATAAAATAAGATTATTAATTTGAAAGATAGTTGAAATAAAACTCATGCTATCCTACTAAAATCTTTGTTCTTGCTCTTCTCATCAATCTGTCGTTTATTTTTTTCTCTGTTTAGTAACTAAGTAGGTATATTTCTGTAGTCTGTTCTATTATCATGAATATCATTTTCATTTGTTTTTCTTGTATAGCTGGAAAGTCTAGTCTCTGAGAAATAGTCTTGTACTTTCTATTTAATTTATAAACATAACACGAAACAACATTTTAATTTACTATATTATTATTATTATTCACGTATTTCCAATATTTTTATTAATTACAGATCATTACATAATATCAACGAAGATTACTCAATATAAATAACATAGAACAAGTATACATATTTATATCTTATGTCAACATCACAAGGATTTATAAAAACTGTTATGGTATTATTAGAAAGTACTAGTGGTTCAGGACATTGTATAGTTGGTTTTCGACCACGTCTAGCTACTAATCGTAAAGAGAAAATAGCATTTGATCCACTTGTTCAACAAAATGTTTTATATCGTGAATTACGCAAAATGCGTTCATTGAAAAAAGCAGGAAGCTAAACTATTATATATATATCTATTAGATAAATACAATGTATAGTAATTCTTTATTTTATTATAAATAAATAAATTTTCACTTCATTATTTCTTTGCTTTTTACTTACATTATTTTAATCAATCTATTGTTTTTGATATTGTTTGTTTTCAATGAATGACTGTAATGATTACAATGTTGACTAGTGTTGGGGATGGTTGGAAGAAAGTTAGGGGCGGCTAAACCAAAATGTGGCATCAGTGCTTGAAGTCACTAACTTCTAGTTTGAGCCATGTTGGTTAAATGCAGACTTACTTAGTTGGGGTCCTCATGACAATCGTAACCAATGTTTGGAGAATCGATCACAATAACTTCGATGTATACACTCTTTGTCTTCCTTTAAACTATGAGATTAAATTTGCTTCATATCTTGTCTATTTATTCTGTGTTTTTTGTTTGTTTGTGGCTTTGTGTTTTGTTGAAAAACAGATTTTCTGTATTTCACATTAAGAGATGTTTAGTTTCCATTCTCATTTTATTCTTTCTACTTTGTTTAATTATTAGTTGATATGACAGAATTAAAAAATAGAAGCAAAATTACATCTTTAATTCATTGTCATTCTTGCTCAATATTACTCAATTCAATGTAATATTCGTTTGATCCACTTCTGTGTGGAGATGAAGTTTGAAACAAGAATCATTCATGATCTGTACATAATCTTAATGTTATTTGATACAAAACTTTAATTATGCGTCTTTCTAGGTGTGGAATGTATATATAGTAGATAGTAGTGATATTCAAAATCAGTGTTTCGTCCTATTTGAGACTTGTCAGTTGAGTGCGCTTGTTATATATTATCCAACTTTAACAAAAACATGTGACTAAATAGGAATTTTGAGTCAATGAATGCAATACATTTATACCAGATAGATATTGATCAACTGCCAACGAGTGAAGTTAAATTCTATTCATATATACCAATAAATAATGTACGTGATAAATGTATTTTGTTTCCAACAGCATGAAAACACTAACATTTATTCAACACAGTTCTTGGGTCAACTTTTTTTCATTTGATATTAAACTACTTCAAGCTTTGAATCATTTAAGTAGTTTGTTAAAAATACATTATTGTAATGACTAATTGAATTGATTAATTAATGTATTGTAAAAAATATTTTCGTAAATATTAATTTTTCTTATTATTTTTACAGTGAAATCTCTATTTATTTCAATGGTAGAGTTCATGAGTCAGTTGAAACTAGATCACCATGGAAAACCTGAAAGCACTGGATGGCCGTTTTGTCCTATCGTGAGACTCCTCGGCAGTGCGCATTCACGATCCCACCTCGCGAGATTCGAACCCAGGATCTATCAGTCTCGCGAGCGAGCGCCTAACCACTAGATGGGGAGCGATCGTGGATGCGCACTACTAAGGTGTCCAAAAGTAGCACGAAACGACCGTACAATGCTTCCAGGTTTTCCATAGTGGTCTAGCTTCAACTAACTCATGATCTCAACTATTGAAATTACTATAATATCCACAAAACCCCTTCTGATATAAATCTTTATTTGTTTATTTAAAAAATTTTTTTAGTGCACCAATGAAGTCCTGTTGGCAATGATTATTTGTTCATTGTGTTCTTAATAATCATATTCTTTTACTGGATGCCAATTTTTTGGCGTAATTCTATAATATATCTTCATGAACTCCAATACATTAGCATCAACGGGGAATCATTCCTTTACATCTATTAATTTTACAACAACAATAAACTGTACTGCTATTCATACAACGACTATAACAACAACGAAAACAAATGTCACTAATATTCCTACAGCCATTACCAATACTTCTTCGTCTACCACCACTACTACTAGTATTAATAATAATAATAATGCAACAACGAATACAATTTTGAGCAAATTAACTGATCGTGCCACTTATTTTGCTGTTGTTTCTGATACTTGTGCATTCAATCGTAATTTATGCAAAACTCGTTATTCTCGATTACCATTTTTGGATTTAGCAACTCATATTTCTCAACGACCAGCTCCATGGTTATATCATACAAACAGGGAATATTTAAGAGGTAAGCTAAGTATCTTTACTGTTGTATGTAGTCTTTCGAATAAATACACGGACTGAAATCCAGTCTGAGTTTTCTGTCTTCAGAGCATCCTTAAAAGTCTTCAGAAGTCAGACTATATAATCAAATGTTTTCCTGACCTTGGATTATCATTCCAGTCCCCACTGAAATGCCTTGATCCAATTAAAAACGCCTGTTCTCTTCATTATCTCACCTCCATGTACAGTGATCACTTGAATTTCATTGAAAACTTTCAATTGACGATAGAGCTAATACGTTTGACCTCTGAGGACTTTCAAGGCTGTTTTGAGCAATGGAAACTGGTGCAAAACAAGCGTATCGCCAAAAATGTTCGACATTTTAAAGGGGGCACGATTGAGGTACTCTGGAATCGTGTTCAATAAACTCATAATATCGATTCGCCTATTTATTGAACATACTGTGTAGACCTAAGTTATTCCTTTTAATATACCTTCTCTGTATATAGGCTTGCATCGTTTTATTCCAATTGATTTATTTACAGAATCACCATCCAAAGATCCACATGTTTACTTACGTTTTCCTCGTTATCGTTGGCATTTGGACTACCAGTCACCCCATAAGAAGCGTAAGACAGCTAATCAAAAACTTTGGTGTACGTTACAGAATGGATTGAAAGCTCTGGGAGTCTCGTCTGACTTAGGTAAATTTTGCTATTATTGCTGTTCTCTGAATAAATGTCATGGAAGGTCATTTGCATGTTCTATTATTTTTTTGAAGCAAATTTGATGTATTAAATCATTGGTTGATTGTATTTAATATCAATCAACAAGTATTATATTATTACTTGGCAATAGAGATTTATCGGACTCAACTCCGAATGTCAATAATGGGGATTTTCAAATGTTTATGAATACCGATCAGTTGAACAAGCTGATGGTTATCTGGACTCAATAAATCAGTGGATAACGTGTTAACGTTTGAAACGATACCCCCTGAGTTTAAGTCTTAGTGTGAATGTCAATTATGTAGATGCAGGTATATTCAGATGACTAATTTGAAGTTGTACAAAATGCATATCTTGTATCACACTGCTAGCTACAATCCAATAGATTGATTGACTGTTTTCTGCTCCATTTCTATAGTACATATAATTCCATTTTTATCTATCGCGTTTCAGTTTTTTCTGTATCATCTATGGATTACCTGTAACTGAACATTAATAAAATTACCAAACAACTTAATTTAGACAGTTATTGGAGATTTAGATGAACTGGATAGCTGTTTCATTCTAGTATAGGACTTAATGACAGTGAGTATCCACTATTTCTCCACTGACGATCAAACTTAAGACCTCCGACTTCGCCCACAAACACAATTTCTGAGCCGGTATCTAGCGGTGTACATGTTTAACTTTGTACAGAACAATTTCTTGCTATTTTCTGGTACAGATACGCTTTACTAATATAATAACCATTGAAATTGTACAAAAATGGTATGGATAATAGGTTATTATTTGAATTATATTATTTATTGGCTAGTCAGTTATCTAATACCAAATGTCGTTTGTTGAATAAGTAATATAAAGGCAGCATTTAAATGCTGTTCTGAAGCCTCAAGAAGTCGATTCTCAAGACGATAAATAAAACGAGTAAACATGTATTTTCCTGTTTCACTGGCAGCATTATGTAAATAACATGAATTTTTTTATCACGTTGACGGTTAGTTTGCTACTACTCGGATGCCTTAACATAAGTATTTGATGTGGGCCTCAAAAAATCGATATTTATAACTACTAGTCTTTCGATATACCTATATATAATTATATAACACGATTTAGTGTTATACAGTTTATTTCTGTTTTCTTCTAACCTGTTTAGTTCCTGTTGTTACAAGAAAAGCTTATGCTATAGCTGGTCTCTCAATACCATCAAGTTTAGCTAACTACTTGGATGTTCTAAATCCTCGAGTGTCTGTCAGTCATACATCAGGAAATAATGCTAATAATAATAGTAGTAACTTAACTATTTCTACCGGTACAACTAACCGATTACAGCACTCAGGTTTTGTTGGAACAAACAATTCCAACGTCCACTCGAGTTCGTTCCAACGAAAGATACTTTATGACAATCATGGTGATTATTCTCATGATCCAATGATCAACTCAGCAATAATAACATCCATGTTACACGATGATGAAGAACATGATTATATTGTTAGTGATCGAAGTCAGGATAGTGTATGCTTTTTAAATGGTCGAATTGGAGGATCGGCGTCGAATACTCCAGGCTTTTTTGGTGGCATCACTGGTGATGATAGTACACAATCGTTTGATGGAATGTTGACAATGACTAAACGTACAAACAAAAATAATAGGACAACTTCTGATAATGTCAATATATCCGATCGTAGAGATTTACAAGATGATTGTCAGGATACACAGCATAGCAATAATAATCATATAATGTCAAATAAATCAGATTATACTAAAACCTACGATTTAGATAATGTATCTGAAGATGATGATAATCAAAACCGGGACTATGACGTAGAGGATTATGATGGCGAGTTGGGAGAAGACATGGATGATGATGACGTTGGCGGTGATGCAGATTGGTTTGCTGGACGACGACGCGGGACGGGAGGAGGTGGGAATTTAGGTAATAACGGTTCTGGTGGAGGTAATAATGGTCTCGTTATGAGTGGCGACGGAAGAAGAGGCAAAACACGATCTGTATATTCATTAAAAGTGACAAAATATAATCGAAAAATCGTCAATCAGAAAGTTAATCGTTCGTCCCAAAATTTCCCTGCACTCAGTAGTCGCTTAGGAGGTAGAAGATTTACGAAACGTCACCTTGGCCGTCCATTTTCAGGTCGACTTCAAGTGAGTGCTTTTTCAATGATCGATCACTATTTGTAGCATTTCCTAATTTTTTATGAAACGTTGACTTAACTAAAATACTTGTGATTTCAGTCTACTGATATTTGACTACTTAATAACTGATTTCTTTTTCTATCCGTATGTTAGCTATTAGTT